CACCACCTCCTGCCACGCACTCGTCGCTGGCGACTCTGGGTACTCGTCCATAAACGACAAGCCCGAATCACACGACCGCCCAATCCTCGGGTCCAGCGGCACCGCACCCAAAAACCGTACGCCCATCTCTTGACACATCTTTCTCGCCCCACCCGTTGTCGGCTTGAAGATTTGCGAGACGCCCGTGCATGACGGACAAACAAACCCGCTCATGTTCTCAACAACGCCAACAATCTCGACGCCGACTTTGCGGCAAAAGTTGATTTCCTTGCGCACATCCTGGAGGGCCACTTCTTGTGGAGTTGTGACCAAGATGGCACCGTCAATGCCTGCATCCTTCAAGTAGGTGACAATGGACAAGTGCTCGTCCGATGTGCCTGGAGGGGTATCCACCAGCAAGTAATCGAGCTCGCCCCAGTCCACGTCCCGCAAAAACTGCTTGATCATGCCATTCTTTTTCGGGCCGCGCCAAATCACCGCATCGGATTTAGACGGCAACATAAAGGCAATCGACATGCAACTCAACGTGTCGTCCACTTGCACGGGGGTCCATCCCGTGCTGGTCTGATGAACCTGGTCGTCGGCCACGCCCAGCAACAGCGGAATCGACGGGCCCGTGATATCGACATCCAGCACGCCTACGGTTGTGGGTGCACGTGTGCCCGTGGCCATTGCCGTTTGCTCCATGCCCGAAAGCGCCCAAGCGAGTGTGGCCGTGACGGTGGATTTGCCAACGCCGCCCTTGCCCGAGAGCACGAGCAGCTTGCGGCGGACACCGGCGAGGCGCAGGGCAATGTCGGCAATGGCCGGGTCGGGTCCTGCTGCGGCTTCGCCAGACGCACAGATGGATTGGTTTGGGCAACCTGCGCACGCAGACGACTTGCCGGCGGCCTCGGACTGAGTCCCGGGGCAGTGTTCGGGGGCGTCTTGCGGGCGGTCGGCCGGTGGTGCTGATACGGATGCGGATGCGGATGCAGATGCAGATGGTGGGTTTGCAGAGTCTGGCATGTTGATTGAATGATTGAATGATGTACTTTGGGGTGGGATGCTCAAGTCCCATCCATTCTGAGTCAGCGATTGTCTTCGCAATCAGAGAGAGGGAGTGACGAAGCGGTGAATCGGCGGACCGTTTATCGATTGTCAACGGCAATCATAATATTTTCCATAACCAACGTTATCAGAATGCTCAACTCGACAATACGCAGCAATGCCATGGATACAATGCCCAATGACTTGATGCATTCATCCGCTCGGCTTCATTGATCCTTGAGCTGCCCCACCCGCACCGCCCCACCCCCGTCCAGACCTGACGGCTCTCCCACCAGTCAGCCTCTATCCAAACATCAACATCCATCATCATCATGCAGCGCACGTCCTTCCAGCGGCCCACAAAGGTCAAGAACAAGACGCCCGCCGAGATCCAAATCACGGCCGAGCAAATCCTGCGCGAGTCACACGACCGTGCCGAGCCGCTCTACACACGGCCAAAGCAGCAAATCACGACGAGGACGAGCTGCAAGACTACCGCTTCAACCGCCGCAAATGGTTCGAAGACGCCGTGCGCCGCAACCGCCATAACGTTAGCTTGTACCTGCAATATGCGCCTGGGAAGAGTCGCAGGGCGAGCTCGACCGTGCTCGGTCCGTGTACGAGCGCGTGCTCGAGGTCGAGGGCCGCAACCCGAGTATTTGGATCAAGTATGCAGAAATGGAGATGCGCAACAAAAACATCAACTTGGCCCGCAACTTGTGGGACAGGGCAGTCACGCAGTTGCCGCGCGTCGACCAGTTTTGGTACAAGTATGCGTACATGGAGGAAATGCTCAACCAGCATGCAAAGGCGCGCCAGATTTACGAGCGGTGGATGACGTGGAAGCCCGCAGAGCCGCTTGGGAGTCGTACATTGCGTTCGAGGTCCGGTACCGCGAGGTGCAGCGTGCACGGTTGTTGTACCGGCGCATGGTCGAGTGTCACCCGGATCCGAAAAACTGGATCACGTACGCAAGGTTTGAAGAGGCACAATCGGATCTTGCGGCAGCAAGGTCCGTTTTTGAACAAGCCGTGGCGTACCTGGGCGACACGCACGCCTCTCCCGAGCTCTTTATGGCGTTTGCCAAGTTTGAAACGCGCCAGGGCGAACTCGACCGCGCGCGGGCAATCTACACGTATGCGTTACAGACGCTGCCAAAATCCGCAGCCGACGACCTTTACCGGGCCTACACCCAGTTTGAAAAGATGCACGGCGACCGGAAGTCCATCGAGCACGCCGTTGCGAGCAAGCGCAGGCACATTTACCTCGATGAGATCAAGGCCAACCCGCACAATGTCGATGCGTGGATGGACCTTGTGCGCCTCGAGGAGGATTCGGGCGATTTGGCGGCCACCAGGGATACCTATGAGCGCGCCGTCGCCAACGTGCCACCTGTCCAGGTCGATTCCGACATGGGAGCTGGCGGAACGGGCGGTGGCGCGGCGGCAAAACGGCTGTGGCGCAGGTACATTTACTTGTGGCTTCAGTACGCCGCCTTCGAAGAGGCCAAGGCGCACGACGTGGACCGCGCTCGCGCCGTGTATACAACGGCACTCGACACGGTCCCGCACAAGCACTTTACGTTTGCCAAGCTGTGGATTCAGTATGCCAAGTTTATGATTCGCCAGCGCGATTTGCCCGGCGCACGCAAGCTGCTGGGATTTGCTCTGGGGATTGCTCCGAAACCAAGCTTGTTCAAGGGGTACATTGACATTGAGATGCAGTTGCGCGAGTTTGAGCGCGTGCGTGTGCTGTACAACAAGTTTATCGAGTTCAATGCCGCGCTCGTCACCACCTGGGTCAAGTATGCCGAGCTCGAGACCATGTTGGGCGATGTGGAGCGGGCCAGGGGAATTTACGAGTTGGCCGTGGCACAAGAGGTGTTGGATGTGCCCGAGGTCATTTGGCAGGCGTACATCGGTCCGTTTCGTTTCTCTTTTCTGTTTTTTAACTTGTGGGATTTTGCTGTGTACTGACACTACGTGATCACGGCCCGCGACAGAATTCGAATGCGATCTCGGCGAATGGGACAATGCCCGCGAACTATACGAGCGCATGCTGCAGCGCACCATCCACGTCAAGGTGTGGGTCCAGTTTGCAAAGTTTGAGGTGCGTGCAGAGCAGTTTGACAGCGTGCAAGAACGAGCGACGCGGGCACGTGCCATTTTCCAACGTGGATACAAGGCACTCAAGGAACAGGGCTTGAACGAGGAGGTGCGCATATAGATTTTTTTTTTCCTTCCGTCGCGATTGCGCATGCTCGGGTTCTAACCGCCGTCGATGCTTGATCCCGTAGCGACTCCTCCTCTTGCAATCGTGGCAACAATTCGAGCGCGAATTTGGTGCCGTGCAAGATCTGACGGCCGTGACAAAGATGTTCCCCAAGGTCACCACGCGCCGCCGGCGTGTGGGCGAAACGGGCGGCGTGTCTGAACAGCAGCAGCCGCACATGACCGAGGAGTACCTCGAGTACGCGTGGCCCGACGACGAGGTGCAAAAGCCCAGCCTCAAGTTGCTCGAGAAGGCGCATGCGTGGAAGGCAAAGTTGGCGGCCAGGACGGCGCAGCAGGAGGCGTTGCAGAAAGCGAGCGCTAGGGCGGCCTCTGCGCCAATTGGAGAGGAGGGGAGTGAGCAGGATGGGAGTCAGGATGAGGATGACATGGATGTGGATCGAGAGGATACGTCCATGTTGCCTGATCATGACGAGCAGGAGGAGCGGGAGTAGTGCTTTGTGTGGTGTGCGATAGGTTGTCCTCATAAAAAATTCGTGTATTAACAGCAGAAAGTCACGCATTTTTTCTCTTTTTTTTTGGAATCCTCCTCAGTCAACGTGGACCATGGAGCAGCCAGAAATTGTGCATGCGGACCCACAAGCGCACAGGATCACCGTATCTGCTTTTCAGCGACTCTTCGCATGCCTGACCCAGACCCTGCTGCCAGTGGTGACTCGTGACGCGTGGCACCGCGAGAACTTGCCAACGACATTGTGGGCACATCAAAACGAATCAAAGAGCAAACGGATTTACAAAGTCCCCAGCGAGCAATTTGGCCATGCGATGAAACACCTGCAGACCGTTGGCGTACTTGAGCGCAATCATATGCTCTCGGGTCCTTGACTCGGAGTCCATCACGAGCAAGCTTCGCAGAAACGGCATTCTTTTGCAGCGTCGGGTTGCAAGGTGGATCGAGGAATACTGCTGGATCATCTGCCTTTACGGGCACAACGCAAAAGGCAGCTTCCACTCAAGCAGATTCCGCCACGACGGGGTCGAAATGGAATCAGGTGTTGTTCTTATATCCGCCCACACGTTCCAATTCTTGGGATTCGAAGTCAATCATGCATATTGCAACTTTGGCATCGTTCCCGGTACGTGAGCGATCGCATTCAAATCCCGGACACCGGTTTGCGCGCCGCTGTGGGCAACTCGATGTGCCAGACAGTGTCTTGGACGCCATTGAAAACCGACAGGTCGACGCAGGCGCTGGTGGTGAGCTTGACCCGCATACCCACTCAGAGGGGCAAAAGAGTGGAGACGCCGCCAGTGTTCTTATCGTGAATGCCGTGCAGCTCGCCGTAGTCGGCAGCGGTGAGGGAGGGGCCGCTGTCGGGCGTGAGGGAGGCCGAGACGAGGTAGAAGGGCATTGCGGGGTCGGTTCGCGCAATCTGGCCAATGATGCGGTTGTTGCATGCATGGCGGACAGAGTGTTGGGAATGACGATGAACCGCAGCGACCGTTGTTGCCAATGGTCGACTCTATTGGTGTTGGTTCCGCTTCCATATATGCATAATCTTGAATCAGATATAATATGTGGACGAAAAAAACATGGGAAAACACCAACAAGCGCCGGTGGTGTCGAGGTATTATTGAGCCCTCTCTTGTTCAACTCTCTCTAGGTTCAACATTGAATGTGCTGAATCTTGAATCCAACGGGTATATGTCGACCAGAAAAGCGACTCATAGCAACAAGAAGCGCCGGTGGTGAAATGGTATCATTGAACCCTCCCAAGGTTTAGGCCCGGGTTCGATTCCCGGCCGGCGCAGCCTTCTTTTTCCCAACTTTTGCACAACCATCACAGACACTCTGTTGAAGCCGCCGTCTATATCCCCATGGCTCTGCGCAAACCCACACAGGTCTTGGGCGTGGTGGCTTGTGTGGTCCTGCCAGGGATGGCATCCTTTGCCATCGACACCAAAGGACGTGTGTCGCGCACAAGTGCACCCACTTGTGCCTGGTCTCCTCGAGCTCGCGCATTCCAGGACGGAGCACATTCGTGTTTATTGCCCTTTTCATGTACATGAATATCCATACATGCCAAACATTCATGTATTGAGACGATCAAGAGGAGCCACAGCAAGAAACTTACAGTTTGGCAAATGGGCATGCGGTCCTGCCGAAGTCGAGGGGAACCGGCGGCAGCAAAGACAAAAAGCATTGGTGCGAGTGGGATTCGAACCCATGCGGATTGCTCCATAGGAACTTGAGACCTACGCCTTAGACCACTCGGCCATCACACCCTGCTTCACGAGGTGTGATCCAGCAGGCCAGACAAAAATCGTGTTCAGGTGAACGTCGCGGACATGAATCGGACAAGACTCAAGAGCACGCTTACACAAAACTAGGTATGGTCAGTATTCCGACTTCAGACGGACACATGGATTACAATGCTGAGATGTCCCAGAGAAAATTAAAAAAAGTACGATAGCCAACAATAAGAGAGCGGAAATCGAGCGGGCGCCGCGACACTTCCAAGGAAGCCATTACTTGACGAGTACGACTCTGGGTGCCTACATGCCGTGTGAAACTCGCTCCTTCTGATGCGTGAGTACACATTTTTTCGGACTGTGTTGTCCCACTCCTGTTCCGCAAATCACAGGCATTATCTTCATGCCGAAAGTCAACCACCGAATCGCCGAAGGGAGGCATCAAATCCGAATTACGTATGGAAAGCTGCAACAAAGCTCGTCGTATATGAACCGATCCACAGGTTGAATGCTGCAAAGGAATGTGCAGGGACGGATAGTACAAAAGACCAGAGCACGGTGGCAGCACCCATTATCACACACAAGGAAAGAAAACGCCTAGAGAAAAACGAAGCACACAAGCCAAGCGAAAAAGGATAAGGTCGCTGGACAGCGACGCGGCCATCCACATAGAGAAGAAGATGATGTAGCTTATCAAATAACTCGGCATTTGGCCACTGCGACTCGCCACCGCCAAACACATAGACCTTGGCATGTTTGGGACCCATCTTGGGGTCATAAATCAGCTCCCACTCACCCTCGCGCACAAAATGCCCAATGTACGCCTTGGCCATCTCTTCCTTGGATCCCAAAAACAGCGGCGACGACTTTGGAATTGGTGTCGGCAAACGTGACGAAACCATGGCTTTGGCCATTTTGTCCACATTGTATGCACCAAACGGTGCAAAGTTACCGCGAACCAGCTTGAACTGAATGTTGCGCACAGCGTTGGGGTCAAGGAACGGTTCGACCTTGGGCCCAAACACCTTGTCCAACAGCTCGCCAGTCGCACGGAAATGCACGCCGGGGCATGGCGCAAGCATAAACTTGAACGAGCCTTGGTCGTCGGCCATGGCCGTGATGGGCACGACTGTATCGTCGTTCAAATCGTCCATGGCCGCAGAAGGCACATCGTCGTCATCATCATCTTCCTCATCATCGTCGTGATCATACATGGCGCTCATGGCCAACGCGCGGGCACTGGTACCCTTGAGGGACGCGGCAACCAGGTCCTTGGCTTGTACACGGACGGGAAGCGCTTGCGGGTTGGTTTTGCGTGCAGCAATATCGTACAATTCGACGATGCCTGCCACCATGAGCTGTGTGACAATGTGGTCGACAAGCGGTTGGCACAGATCGCGCCAGCGGTTGACCCAGGGGCGAATGGCGGCATAGTTGGTGGTGAAGAAACTGACGAGCGCAGGCAAGTTGTACTGAGTGCGTGGCTGATACGTGCGCGCGATATCGGCATGGATCTTTGCAATGGAAATCTTTGCGGGAACCACCTCGGCCGGCTCGGGCATGGGCGCATCCTCGTCGGAATCGTATCCGTCGACCTTGGCCAACTTAGGCTTGTCGGGCTTGTCGGAAATGGCTCGCGACACGCGCTCCCTTGCCGGCACATACTTGTCGTCACTCTCGCCCTCATCCTCCTCGTCGCTCGACCAATCGCCGTGACCACCATCCTGGACCCGGCCTGCTGCGCCAACTCGGCGTTCCTCGCCTGAGCCGCCTCGGCCCATCCTTCGCCGCCGCCAAACTCGTCGCGCGCCGCAGCCCATTCTGCGGCCTTGACCTCATCGCTCTCCTCAACCGCCGCCTCGCGCATCTCGCGCGCATACGCCTCACGCTGCAACTGCAAAAACTCGCGCTGCTCGGGCGTCAACGACGCCAAGTCAATGTCGCTATCGTCCACCACAATTTCTGAGCCTGCGGACGCCCCGCTGGTCCCATTCTCAACCGCAGATGCCGACGCAGACGCCGCGGCAATTGCCGCCTCCTCCTGCCGCTTATGCTCCTCCATCTCACGCTTGCGCTTTTCCTCGCCTCCTTTTCCCGCCTGCGCTGCTCGTCCCTGGCCTTCTCCTTTTCCGCCTGTGCAGCAAGCACCTCTGGCGGCGGCGGGGGAATATCCTTGAGCATGGTTTTTGCGAGCTTCTTGACGTTTTCGCGATTGCGGTTAATTTGCGCAACGAGCGGCGCGAAATCGGCCTTGCACTCTTGCGACGGCCACATGCGGAAAGCTTCGGCGCACACGGCATGTGCGTGCTTGTCGAGGTTTTGGTCTAGCAGTGCGCGCGTCAGGCGAAACGCGGCTTTGCGCAGCGTAGATTCGGGCAGGTCGAACCGGTGGGCTGTCCATGACGACCGCAGCATGTTGGCGATCGGGGTCAGAGACACTTTGGTGCCGGCCGCGGGGGCCGCCGATGTTTCCGGTGTAGGGGTGTCGCAGTTGGGTCGCTTGTGGCGGTGGTGTTGGAGGGGCAATGGCGAGGCCAAACACCGACGGGCTTTGCTTCGGCATTTGGGGTTGGCGCAGCGTCAGGTAGGCTTGCGCTTGGTTGAGATGCAGGATTGCGAGTAAGGCGGCGGCGGACGGGTGCGGTTTCGGTTGATTGTTGATGTGATGCTCGAGAATTTCGGTAGCGGCTTGGTATTGAATGATGGCGAGCTCGGTTTCGCCAGCTTTGAGTAGCCGATTGGCTTCGTTTTTGACATCTTCGAGGCGCGATAACCATTGAATGGTGAATTCAGAAGCCTGCGGGCGCAACCAAAGTAGAATGAGTGCGACGACCGGAACGAGCACAGGCAAGGAGAGCCAGACGGACCCGAGGGGTAATTGCAAGCACTTCAATGTCAACGACCACAAATGGGAGACTTGAATCGACACGGACGGTCGGATCACGCGGCTCCACTGCCAAAAGAAACAGGTGCGCGAGTGAGTGACGTGCGCTATCGAGGATGGAAAAAGTTAAATTGACGCACTGTCTGGACCGGCAAACTGAATGGCTGCAAATTCACCGCAGGACATGCCGACGAGCTTCGTGTCCAATCCCGCACAAATGCCTGTGGGGCGTCGTACCGAAATGTGAGCGCTGACTGATATGCACCAACGTCGAAGCCTAAGCCCCACAAACATACCCTGACCTGGCCGGTGCCAATGGGGCCGATACGGGTACGCCTCGTGCGAGGCAGAAAACAGCGACCCATCGTGGTGCCACACGCGTACCGCAAAAGGACAGTGTCGCCCTCTTGCACAACTTGGCTCGACGTGAGGCAGGCGGCGGGAGCGGGTTTCCGGTCGAGTACCTTGGTCTCGTGGTTGCCATTCATCAGACGGTTAATTTTTTCCTGGACATCATCGCCGTCGTCATCGTCGCTGGCGTCATCGCCATCGCTGCTGAGGCCCGACAAGTTGCCGTCGGCCTGGCCGTGATCATCGCAAACACTCGGGGTTGATGGTCGGGAGCTCGTCGGGATGGGCATTTGCGGTGCGAGCATTCCCATTGAGCTTGGTGGCTGGCGCCGTCGCTGGCTCCCGTTTGGAGTAGAGGCGGAGGAGCTGGAGCTGGTGGTTGCGGCGGCCATCATGGCAGCGGAGGTCACGGGACGGGCGGAGTCGGGGCGGGCGAGCAAATGGTACAGATTTCCGCGCTGACTACGAGGGCGAGTCTCTTGTCACAAGTGCGTCAAGTGTTGTTGTGATTCGAGCATCCATGACCCCTACGCAATATCTTCACATAGGGTCGTCTTGAAATTTGGGAGTCACTTGCACTGGCCCCGTGAGGCCACTGCCTTCCAACGGACAAATCTTGGACACTCTCCGTCGTGCCTTGGGGACTGGCCTATGCTGTCACCCTCGGCTATCGACGCACGGCTTCAGCCCAGTCCTCGCATTGACAACCAGCGAGGCGTGCCATTCGCCAGAAAAGCGTGAGATGGTAAGTAGGGAAAGCGTCGTTGTGGTCGATGTCTATCGGAAAATGACCCAGAAACAAGAGTAAACAACAATCTAGGTGAGCGGCTGACTCGCTCACATCCTCCCAACAAGCACAAACATCAATCCTGCTTCTCTGTGCTGACACCGGCCGCCTCAAACGTGGCCATTTCGGTTGCAATCGCCGCGGCACTCTTGAGCATCGGGATCACAAGCGCTGCACCTGACCCTTCACCCAATCGCATGCCCCAGTTGCCCACGGGCGTTGTCCACTCCTTGACCTGATCTTCGGTAGGTGGCGAAGCGCGACATTCCGCAGCGTCTCGAGCAACAGCATCTGCGGCTTCTCGGCCGACACGTGCGCCAGAAGCGTGTGCTGGACAATGGCGGGAATCACATCGGGGTACATGAGCATGGCATACAGCAGTGCCACCTGGGTGATGAATCCATCGACCACAACCAAGGTGCGGGACGATGTTGTGGCCGCTTCGTGAATCAGCGTCGACATGGCCGTGATCTCGAGGTCGCCGAGTGCCCGCAATACTTGGGACCAGTTGGCAGCCTCTGAGCTTGAAGTCGATT